AGTTCATGGTTCTGAAATGGTAGTGCGGTGTTCAATTTGATGCTCTAGCAAAATTAGAGAGTTTAGCTAATTTTGCTCAAAACTGATTGTATCTGGGCATTAGACAGTCTTTTTAATTGATACAAGTTCACTTCTTTATCGGAATAAGTGAAAGCCCCAAAACGTGAGCTATGCTTACTGCCTGAGCATAAGAAAGGAGCGAATCCAGTTGAATCTTTGGTTAGCTGTGGAATATTTGAGAACTCGCCTCTGCAGATATGATGCCCCTGTTTTGTTAAATCTTCTTTTTTTGGTTAAATCTTAAGCCTTTAAAATTGTCCATTTTATGTCCATTTTTAAATCGGTCACGGCAATTTTCCGCATGGAGCTATTCCTTATTGGGTTCAGTTGTTCGTGATGTCCAAATAGCCTGTCACTTGTATGATTAAACGCCGATTCGGAAGAGAATATTGTGCATCAGAAAAACAAGTGGGGTCCATTGCAACAATAAGGGAGGTGGGGTGGGCATGCGGTGCAGTTGTACGTGCAGCCTAGAGTAATCCTAATTTTTGCACTGGAGAAAGCTCTAAAATGCGCGTGCTGTTTCCTTCTCGTCTCAGCCCAACCTGGAGCATCGTGCTCGTCGAAATGTAGTAGACGGCACCGCTTATTGCACCACAATACTCTTCGGTCGTCCCTTATTAGGATGGATCCAATAATTCTGTTCACTTATTTATTTATTCATTATTCTTTGTTTCAGTACTTTGCGCGGATGTACAAATCTAGGAGTCTCAGTTGGGTCTGTGTAGGTACGTTTTTACTAAATTTGGGCTCACTTTAGCATTTCTTGTTTTTGTAGCAATTGCGACAAGAATTTGTCAGAGTCCGTGATCCGTCGCGCGAGTCGCGCGACGAATCTGAGAAATTAGAAGTGCCCCGATCGATACTGCGAGGATTCTCTGTCAATCCGCTGCTGTTTCTGCTTGATGGTGATGGTGATGATGACGGTTTATGATTCTGCTTGTTTTATCGAAGTAACGTCAAGGGGTGTGGGTACTTAGGACAGAACGCGACTTTTTCGCTCTTCGCAACGCGACATCGCGCGGCAGGCTGGCGCACCCGCAGCGAAAACAACTACGGTATGGAAGAACGCGCGATTGGAGCAGCTTTTTTGCATGCGTGAATTTGTAAGTTTCTGATTCCTTACTTGCCCGCGCTCACACCCATTGTATTGATAAATGCGGTGAATCACTAATTCTGTCTCATTATTGAAAACGTTTTGTGACTTACACGATTCCGGGCGATGCCACACAAATGGTGTTTTACGAATTATCGGTGAACGAGGGTTTAATAGTGTCGCTTGTGCTTGCATTTTGTGGGTTCATATTGTTGTATAGACATCTGCATAAGGGTATAACATCTTTTACGGAACGCTTCTGTCCTCATCACGGATATGATACTCATTTTTGACGCTGGCGCCATTTGGGGCCGGGTGGCGCCACAACTGATTCCCACTAAATTCGCTGTAAACTTCTGTATAGGGGTTATTCGGGGTCCTGATTTGTTGTTAGCGCTATTCGGCGCCTGCTCCTGCTCGTCTGCGCCCTCGCACTAATTAGATCGCAATAGGACTAAGCCTTTGAGTAGTGTAGGGCTCCAAAGTGGGTAGGCCATTCCCCTGTGGTGTGACACACTCCAACTTTTGCCACACGGTGCGTGGTTTACCCACTCCGGAGTTTCACTTTCTCCCCTAAGCTTAGTCGTAGGCGCTGTAGGTGAGAAAGCTTAGGAAAGCAGAAAGTATGCGTTAAACAGCACGAATGTGAAAAATGAGTGTCATATTCATGATCAGGGCCCCAAATAACCCCTATGCAGAAGTTTACAGTCGTCTCATCAAACGTCCATCAACCATTCCTCTTCCAGGTTCTCCAGAAGCTCTACCATCCATCTCTGCAAAAATAACCTACCTCCCTCTTCACTGCTAGTTAGCGGTCCACTTCTGAGTTTCATTTCCTCGTTCATTACAAATCCAAAGTATTTCCTCGTTCATTATCAAATCCATGGCTATTAAGCTTCAAACTCCTTGTCGCAATCAAAGCCGACACAAATATCGCGCTCCAATCGCGCGTTCTTCCATACCGTAGTTGTTTTCGCTGCGGGTGCGCCAGCCTGCCGCGCGATGTCGCGTTGCGAAGAGCGAAAAAGTCGCGTTCTGTCCTAAGTACCCACACCCGTTCAAGTGTGGGGGATCGCAAGTTTTGGCACGACGGATCGCGGACTCTGACACCAGAATTATCCTGAGGCTCAAATGGTTTGCGGACTACTTGATTTTTCCTCAATGGTCCTGCCGCGATGGCTAGAGCACAGACGATTAGAGAACGGGTGAATGCCCTAGGACTAAGCCTTGGAGAGGAGAGGGACCCGCGAGAGAGCGCAGAGGAGGTTTAAAGGAGCTGAGTTCAAGTAGTCCGTCGACCAGACGCAAATAACTAGCTTCATGATGCCTGCGTTTTTGATGAGGAGGGCAGTAATATCGGAACGTTTCTTTTGTCTTGTATTGGAGATTCTGTTTGACCTTAGATTGGATTTCATTAATGCTCATGTTAATAATTTGGTGCAGTATCTGATTTTTGAAATAATTCCCACACTGTGTTTGGCTGGAGTCGTCCACACAGCATTTAAATGACTTTGTTGAAATTTCAATTTCAGCGCGAATGACCGACTTATGCGAACAGCCGCTCGGGCTACTATGCGAGGTGGTTCGACGCGAATTGGTTCACCTACTCGAATCACTGCCAGGAATAAAGGACTTAGTCGTCGACGCCACTTTGCTGCGTCGCTTGATCGTATCGCGTCGATGAGTCTACTGCAGAAGCATGGCTGTCAGCGAGTTATTCCGCTTCGGCTCAACTCACCCTCCGCCATCCCGTGGCATCCCAATGTGACGCGTCGTGTGTATTTACTTCGTAGTTCTTTGGACATTGCTCGATTGCTGGCTGAGCATGTACGCGCGTCCCCTGATAAGCAAATCGCCGCCATCTGGGTGGATCGACGTTTGGTCGTTTGTGAACGTGAACTTGAACGACAAGGTGTTTACGGTCAGATCGAGTCATTTGAGCTGAGTATCTCTTTCATCTCTCTGGAAAATGATCTTTTCTCTATGGAAATGCCTATTACCACGGCCCACAAGGACTTGCTAGCATCGGCTAATGCGCTATTTCAACTCCAATCCCTATACGGTCTCATACCAACGGTTTACGGTTTGGGAGAGCAGACAGAAAAGCTGTGGAAACTAATGCATCACGTCTACACTGAAAGAGGGGAACCGCGATCATCACCGGATCAACCAATCAGTCATCTATTCATGTTTGATAGATCGCTGGATCAGGCGACAGTTCTCATGACTGGTCTTACCTACGAGGCGATGCTCCACGAGGTGTTCACAATCGGGTGCGGTAAGATATCGTTCGGACCGGAGGTGGAAGAGAAAATGCGGCCTGAGATCGAGCAAGGCGAGGCGGTGAAGAAATCGAAGGTGTACGTGCTTGACAACAATGATGGAGTGTTTTCATCAATACGAAATAAGCACATGACAGGAGTTTTTCCTTTCCTCAGTTCAAAAGCCAAGGAGATTCAGTCAGATTTCAACAAAGGCGCCTCTATAGATCAAGTGCGAGATATGAAGCAATTTGTCGCGCATGAATTGAAATCGCTGAAACTTCAACATCGTCAGTTGGAAATGCACATTTGTGCTTGTGAAGTGTTACTGGAGAAGAACGGAGCTGCAGGAGCCAGTGATCGTTTGAAGTTCGAGCACGAGCTGGTTGCGGGCACGGCCAATATCGCCGATGTGATCTCATACCTCGAAGACTGCATGTTGCGCGAGCTATCGTCCTGGCAGGTGCTGTCTCTTGCCTGCCTGGCTTCTCTAGCTCAGAATGGCCTCTCCGCCAAACACTTCCAATCCTTCCGTGAACACTTTCTCAGAACGTACGGCTACGAGTACCTCCCGATACTGCACAGCCTTACTTCAAAACGCCTCCTCATCGAGAAACCTCGACCGATTGTTGGTGGTGCAGGACCACCCGCGCCTCCCTCTCCGTCACCCAGTGACTCCCTACCAACGCTGCCATTCCTAATCAAGAGACTAAATCTTGTCCCCACGTCGGAGGATGCGACAGTGGATCTGCGCAACCCATCCTCAATGAACTACGTATTTTCTGGTGCATTTACGCCACCATTTTGTCAAGTCGTCGCTAACGCAATGGTTCATGGTTGGAATACAAACGAGCTGAAGAAGACATTTGGGCGAGTCCTTGTTGAGGAGAACAGCTACATCCCAGCTGATCGTCGCCCAGATAACCGTATGAGAAAAGCAATCCTAGTTTTCTTCCTAGGGGGTGTCACTTATGCAGAAGTAGCTGCGCTACGGCTGCTAGCAGTGCAAAATAACTTTAGGATCCTTATTGCCAGCACTAACATCTTGCATAGGGAGACCTACATGAAATATTTGAGTGATTTAGATTCGCGAATGATTTAGGAACGTATCTTTGTGGGGTGAGAGGAAAATCTGGTAGTTCAGCGAGCGGTCATGATGCAGTCGATTACACATTACCCTTTTTCTGCGTGCACGCGATTATACGTGTTCATTTGTATTATATTATTTGTAAGAAATGTCTCACTTTATGTGTGTGATTTCGAGTTCCTCGCCAAAATGAGCTATTTGTACGGGAATCTTTCTTTGTGATTATTCTAATGAGCTGTTTTCCGTTGTTGTGTATGAAACGTCAATTCGAACTAATACTAATATTTCTGTTGTGAAAAAAGAAATAAAAAGTCTTTGTTTCATATATAAACCGTATATAAATTAAGACAAAGAATCGGTATTCATATAAGAATCAGGATTCCACGAGATCGTAGATGAAAGAGGAGAAACACCCCCAGAGGTGCGGATCAACACGCATTGCAGCGACAATGTGCCTCCGGCGATGTAGTATGCCCCCCCGAGGCGTGTCGGCGCGACACGCCCACCGACTGGTTAGCCACACGCCGCGACCGCATCGTGGGTCTCTAGCCATCCAACAGAGCGAGTATTATCGTTGAAGAGGGCAGCACCGATGGGAGTCACATCAATGCAATCAACGGGCAAGGAGAAGTTGACCACCTCTGCCTTAATTCTCGTGGACTACCTTCTAGCGATAAAATTCGCCTTTTAGTTACCTCTGAGCCGCAAACTTGTGACAGTCACGCTATTTGATTACGCCGTGTGATTCACACAGTGTGCGAGGCATGCGTCGACCTGGTAATTTTTTGCGAGAAAACTTTTTGGTTCCAGAACATACCAAAGACTAGGAAAAAATAAGGGCTAAGTAGGTTATAAGCCCTTTTATGAGAGGAATACGTTGCCTATAAGAAACTCCCACAGTAGGTGGGGCATGCGTCCAAATGGGCGAAGCCGGCTAAAATTGATTTAATTCGCTTCCAAAACATCCCAAAGACCAGGATAAATGAGGGCTGGGTGGAAGTCACCCTATCATAATACTATATATTAACCCTAAGGTTGTTTTTCTGTCCGTTCCCTAAAAATACCCGTATGCAGGGTGACTGAAAAGTTTAGGGCGCGGGTTTGACCGCTTGCTAACACTGATCCGTGGAGTATTTTCAGAATGTTTCGAAATCTTTGAAAGTTTAGGAGCTGTTCAAGAAGCTCCACAAGTTGCTTGGCGAATTTTATCTGAACTCTAGCTATGAAGATAGCTTCGCACAACCCATTATCAAGGCACCATCAACGACGGTGTCTGGAATTGTGACTTCGCAGAGCGACTCGGTATTCCGCCACTTTCTCTTTTGAAACTCTTCGCTGCCCTTCAAGGTTCAAGTAGATAGATACCTGTGGGAATGCGAAAAGTGAGTTCAAGAACTGTGTACACTCAGGGTATTGGGGCAATCACCTAGAAGAGGATCACTCACAACAGTGAGCCAGCGTGAGTCACATCGCTTTTGATCTCAGGATCTGCCGTCACTCCTTTTTTGAGCATCCGAAATAGAATCGAACTATAAAATGCAAAACTGTCTGCGCATTCGAGGCCCGCAACAGCCTTTGTCATACCCCTAGAGGCTGAGAAGAAATTCTCGCACATATTTCACCGTCAAAATCAGAGGCACTTATTGACAAACCGAAAGGAAGTCTGGAATAATTCTTAGTTCGTAACACTCTTAGTTTCTCAGATTCTAGTTTTGTTTAAACAGACCCTCCGGAAGTTGTGATAGTTTGGAGCATCCGAACATGGAGCTCCTGTGGTATTTGTCTACAGAAAATTATAAAATTAATTTGAAGGTCTTGTAAGGGCGAGGCTGAGATTCGTGTGTTGTTGGAGCCCTAAACATTTTGCTCAGTGACCTTTTGCTCACCAATGGAATCGGGTTCCCTAATGCTCTGAACCTATCAAATCCGTTCTGGTCACGCACGTCCCTGGCCATTGGAGCAAGGATTTGTAAACTTCTTGCTCCCAGGCCCCTGAAAAAAGGTTTCCCTCTATGCGGGCATGTCAGGAAGCAAGATCTCGGAAGATACAGCTTGGTGGATGCTCGAAGTCAGCGTTTTAGAGGACCTGGGATGACTCGCCATTGGTTACCTGTGGATCAGTGCTGATACCGTCGTTGGACGTCAGAAGGCCTCTGTCAGAGCAGAGATGTCAAACATAGAGCGCCTTTTATCCGATGTGGTCACATAGCTCAACTCTATCTATCTGAAAGTCGTTTGTTGATTGAGTCCCCTTATTGACTTTTGCACTCAAAAATATGACGTCTATATTTTTCTGAATCTGAACACAATTGAAGGAGATCTTCATGTACGCAAAGGTGTGAACTTGAGAAAGATATAACTGTGCACAAGTTCAATTCTCCTTTTAAGCTACCATCGCCTTACCTCACAAAAGCGCACTTCGTAATCATGATCGAGATCGCCGTATTTTCAAGCTCCCTTCCGTAAAGCACCAAAATATTGCAGAATAATCGGATTCAGTATGCTCAGCTTACTAATCGTAGTTTTGTAAAAGGGGACTCTGCGATGTAGTAAAAGCACCATAGACAGCCAACGAGTCGTGTGTACGGAGTGGGTCAGAATCAGGGTGAAAATCGTGTCGAGGACGTGGTCGCAGAAGTACGACCCCCCCCTGAAATCGAGGTCTTGGCACGACCCCCCCCCTAAAACAGAGCATACGCAAAATCACAACAGCCGAGTGTATCGATCAACGGCAGCTGCGGCGCGATTTGTCCCTGGGTCAGATTTGCTGAAATCCCGAAAAAAAACCGTCGAAATCTACACCCTCGATGAAAAGGTTCCATTCCTCCATTTCCCAACCTTTTGAACAGCACGCGGTAGGGTTAGATAGAGCTAGATTTGCTACTATCAGGCAGTATTGGAATTGCTATGAAAGCCTTCCATTCGAAGAGATATAGTCTCTCAAAATCCGTCGAGGGAGCGTCGAGGATGCTGAAATTTTCATGCGAGTTTTTAATATCTCTCTAATTTCGCAAGGTCTTGGAAAAGGCGAAGACAGTTTTGGAAAGCGGAAGGTTTGCGCTTTTCTAACAGTATGTTTAGCTTCCTTCTACATTCTCTAGTTGAGGAGATATTTGCGTCGAGGATCTATCAAGGATGATTCTCGGCCGCTCAAAAATCCGCTCCCTTCTTCACCATTGCAAGTGCAATTCGTTGCAACGCTCGAAATGTGTCTAGAACACATTCTTTCAACATATGCAATAATCTCTCAGTATTGTGCTGTCCCGGAGCCTCATCAGGACCTAAATGTTATCAAACACAAAGAGGCACCAAAATTTATTTCAAAAGAGTCCCAAAAACTTGCAAAATGTTCAAAAAACTCCAAAATTCCAAAAAACACGAAAAATTTCAAAAGAACTCCTTTGAAATCT